GGCTTATCTGGTGTTTGGGCAAGAATTAAGGAGAGAAGTGCAGATTTGTAAGAGGCAGTTTGGAATTTAGATCTTGAGTCTTGTCTACAGCTTAACCACACTGCCATCCCAAAGTCAGCACTCAGCAGTCCCTGGCTATGTTCCGAAGTTGTTTTCCAAGTTCTTTAGCTTAGGGAAGAGCAGGGGAACTCAGAGCAGAAGACAGCACTGAGAATTTGAGGCACTGACAGAGCTGGGCGTAGGTAGGAAGGCTGGGTGGGAAAATGAGGAGATCCCTTCTTCACGAGGGGCTGGCTACCACCGTGGACGTAGAATGCAGCCACAGCTTAGTTATTTGGTATGTGTGAATTTGATTAAAATACATTACTTCAAATCATTTTCATTTTGAATTTATAGAAACCCCAAGTTAAGTGATTCAGAACCCAGATGAATCTGCAGATCTACAAAAATCTATATTTATGGTATAAACTATGGCCTCTTTATAACTGGCCAGTAATTTATAGTTTGCAGGAGGAAGGAAGGTTCAAAGCACAGGCGCTTTAGAGCCAGAAGACCCTTGGGCTTCATTTCTCCCTGTTTCTGCCGTTGTGGTCTTGGGCAGGTTACTTTGTCAGGGCTCAGCCTATAAAATGGAGGTGATACTGTCTGTCTCTTGGGTTGCTGTGGGCTTCAGTGAGGTCTCGTATGCTTGGCTGGCATGCTTGTGTGGCGTGCTTGCGTGGCGTGCTTGCATGGCAGGCTTGGCACAGAAAGACCACATAGTAAGTGAAAGCCACCATCAGTGAGTCTTTAGGAAGGAAGTCCTGAAAACATTTTCAGGAAACAAACTGACAATAGAAATCTCTGTAAGAAGCAAGAAAGCAAATTTCAAAATGATGACATTCACGGCTTTGAGAGCAAGAGTTGTGTTTAGAGATGAGACCCTTCCTAGCAGTCCTGGACTCCCCTGGTTTTCCTGACCCACATTTTCCAGGCAGCTGCAGAACCTGAGAGAGAGAAAATGTGCAAAGGAAACCAGCCTGAAGCTCCCCCTGATGCAGCCAGGCCTCGGCTCCCAGCCGTCAGGAAAGGGGTGGCTTGACTGATAGCACGAGAAGCCTCGCACCCTGCACAGCGCCCTCAGAGGGCATGCGTCAGGGTGCAGGCTTACTTATGATGAAAAGATCTGTCTGCATGAACAGATCATGCCTGGTTTTGATTAAATTACTGCATGTAGAAGACCCATTGGAGAGATGCCACCATGGTGATAACTATACTATCCTCAGAAAGATGGCACTGTAAGACATTGGAGTTTATGATGTTTTGAAATTACAAAGATAGCCTTTATTTATCATGGGAAATTTGAAAAAAAATACAGAAAAACACAAAGGAAAATTAAAAGCATTCATATTCCTGCTATCCAGTATTCCCACTATTTACATTTTAGAAGTAATCTTCATGGCCAGCGTTGTGGCATAGTGGGTTAAGCTACCTCCTGCAATGCCGAAATCCCCTATGGGCACCTGTTCAGGTCCCAGCAGCGCCACTTCTGATCCAGCTGCCTGCTTATACACTGGGAAAGCAGCAGAGGATGGCCCAGGTACCTGGGCCCCTGCACCTGTGTGGGAAGCCTGGAAGAAGCTCCTGGCTTCAATTTGGCCCAGTCTTTGCCGTTTCAGCCTTTTGGAGAGTGAGCCAGCAGATGGAAGACCCCTCTCTATCTCTCCCGCTCTCTCTGTAACTCTGCCCTTCAAATAAATAAAATCTTTTTCAAAAAATAATTTATTTATATGAAGTAGAATTACAGAGAGGCAGAGAGAGAGAGTTCTTCCATCCACTGGTTCACTCCCTAAGTGGCCCCAACAGCTGGAGCTGAGCCAGTTTGAAGTCAGGAGCCAGGAGCTTCTTCCCAGTTGCCCATGTGGGTACAGGGACCCAAAGACTTGGGCCAACTTCTACTGCTTTCTCAGGCCATAGCAGAGAGCCAGATTGGAAGTGGAGCAGCCGGGTTCCAGAAAGCCCCTATAGATACCAAAATTTGTGAATGTTCAAATCCTTTATAAATGCTATGTAAATAGCTGTTATATTTTCATTTATTCAGTACTGATGCAGTTTTGATTTTTAATAGATTCTGCCCATGGTTGGTTGAATCCAAGGATGTGGAACCCAGGGATCCCCAGGGCCAGCTGCATTGTGACTGAACTTCGCACGTCGGTTTCACTTACGTGCAGAGAAGCAGCTGGCCGCGCCCTCAGTGCACTGTGTTGCTGGCAGCTGCTGGGGTGCAGGGGATCGGAGATGACTGAACAGCTGGTGTCTTGGCAGTCTCCAGGTTTAGGGGTGACCCCCTTTCCTCTTGTAGGCCAAAGAAGCCCACAGCCCAGTATTCTTGGCATTCAGCTGAGCGTGGTTTTCTGTGATGGCTCCACCAGCGCCTGTGCCGGCTCCACCGAGCAGCAGCAGGCGTGCCTGTTACTGGTACATGTTGACACTGCCACACGACAGAACAGAACAGACTGTGAGAATGACCTGTGTCTTCATACTTTCATTCACTTAACATTTACTTAATAATTTACTTAATAATTACATTTTTGAAATTTGTGTTTTGTTCTGTTTAATGTTGAAACAGTGCCTTTTTGGTCTAAATATATCATGCTAGAGTTTTAAAATATTGTGTATAGCCGGTGCTGCGGCTCAATAGGCTAATCCTCCGCCTTGTGGCGCCGGCACACCAGGTTCTAGTCCCGGTCGGGGTGCCAGATTCTGTCCCAGTTGCCCCTCTTCCAGGCCAGCTCTCTGCTATGGCCCGGGAGTGCAGTGGAGGATGGCCCAAGTACTTGGGCCCTGCACCCCATGGGAGACCAGGAGAAGCACCTGGCTCCTGCCTTCGGATCAGCGCGCCGGCCGTGGCGGCCATTGGAGGGTGAACCAACGGCAAAGGAAGACCTTTCTCTCTGTCTCTCTCTCTCACTGTCTACTCTGCCTGTCAAAAAAAAAAAAAAAAAAAAGATTGTGTATAGACTTTTGAGCATGTATTTGCTTAAATAGTCATATGTCACTTTTTTTGTTTTTATTTTTAAGATTTATTTGAAAGACAGAATTACAGAAAGAGAGAGAGAAATCTCCCATCCAGTTGTTCACTCGCCAAAGGTCTGCAACAGCCAGGCCTGGGACAGACCAAAGCCAGGAGCCAGGAGCTTCCTCAGGGTCTCCCACAAGGGTGCAAGGGCCCAAGGACTTGGGCCACCTTCCACTGATTTTCCAGGTGTATTAGCAGGAAGTTGGATCAAAAGTGGAGCAGCTGGGGACAGCACTGTGGCGAAGCGGGTAAGGCCGCCACCTGCAGGGCCCGCATCCCACATGGGCACCAGTTCGAGACCGGGCTGCTCCACTTCTGGTCCAGCTCTCTACTATGGCCTGAGAAAGCAGTAGAAGATGGCCCAACTGCTTGGGCCCCTGCACCCATGTGGGAGACCCAGAAGAAGCTCCTGGCTCCTGGCTTTAGATTGGCGCAGCTCTGGCCATTGCGGCCAATTGGGGAATGAACCAGCAAATGGAAGACCTCTCTCTCTTTCTCTCTCTTTGCCTCTCCTTCTCTCTCTGTGTAACTCTGACTTTCAAGTAAAATAAATAAATCTTAAAAAAAAAAGTGAAGCAGCCGGAGCTCAAACTGGTGCCCATGTTGGATGCTGGCATCACAGGCGGTGGCTTTACCCGTGACACCACAGCACCAGCCCTTAATAGTCGTATGTGTTTTGAGCATTTGTTTGCTTAGTAAAGGTTCAGAAGCGTTAAGTAATGGAAAAAGCATTGAATGTGTGGTAAGAACTCAGAACTTGGCAGAAGCTCTGCTGAAATACCAGTTAGAGGAAAGGTTGAGTACACCATGAAACTGCAGTGGACCTGCAAAGCTACTGATGAACCTGGAGTGTGGGAAGGAGAATGGGGACGAGTGGAGAGCCTCAGACTGACAAGGGAGACGTGCCGGATGTGAATAATCAACAAGTTGACAACAGCTGAAGAACATATCTAAAAATACATGTTCCGCCTGGGAGCCCTGCGCGGCCTCCGCTGCTCTCCTCCCATCTCTCACACCTCCTTCTGTCTGACCAAACATGCCCTTCAGAGCCACAATGATGAGACAGTTTCTGATGCCCCTAATCTTTCCAATAACCGTTAACAATCACAGGGGCAGTCTTTTGAATCTGATCATTGGACCTGTTAGGTGTTGTCTGGGAAGAACAAGATTGTCATTTGGATTGAGAAAGCAGTCCATGAATAAATGTATAAAATGCCCCCGTGTTCCGTGAGGAGCTCCCGGAGCCCTTTGTGTGAGGCAGGAAGCTGGTGCCCGGTGTCCGGTACTCGGTACTCTTGGGCCTGTGTCTCTCGTGTTGTCATAAATGTCTCAGCAAAACGTGAGTCAGCAGCCACTGTCTGTCCACCCTCATAACCCAGAAACCTGAGATTCACTTGTTAAAATTTGCCTCTTTCTTGACGTTTTTAATACTATTTTTTTGGACTCTCATCATATTAGAGCCCTAAACATACCTTATCCCGGATTTTAATTGATACTTAACTAACATATTACGATGACAAGAAGTTACCAAGGGGTAGGGTGCCTCCTGTGGGCAGGGGCATTGTTAAGTGAGTTTTTCCTATTTCTCCTCTGATCTTCGCAGGACTCCTCCAGGGTATAACTGTCCCACCTCACGTATTAGGAAGCAGGTTCAGGAGGACAGTCACCTGCTCAGAACTGACAAATGTTCAGCTGCCTGTGGCTCCTGGGCAGTCTGGCTGCAAGGTCATTTACGTCTCCACTGCTTTAAGGCAGAACTGAGTGGAAACAGACCGCATAACAGAACAGCCGAGTGTGGGAAATCTGGTGGGAAAACCCCAGACTCCTCCGTCCTGGAGGACCCTCGGAGACAGACTTCAGCTTTCCCCAGTAGGTGGTTTCCGTAAATGTTGAATTCAGTGTTACAGACTCCTCCCCTCCTCCTGCCCCTTTGATCTTCCAGGCCCTCAGTACCGCCTGGAGAAGCAGAGCGAGCCCAACGTCGCCGTGGACCTGGAGAGCACCTTGGAGAGCCAGAGCGCCTGGGAGTTCTGCCTGGTCCGCGAGAACAGTACGTTGGCCGCCTCGCTCCGTGCCCACCTTGTCTGTTGCAGATGTGCTCACAAGCTGTGTGTTTGGGAGTGCTCCCGGGTCTGGTCCTCCTGGGCAGACCGGAAGAGACAGACCGCAGCTTGCGTGCCAAAGCGTATCCCAGAGCGAAGTGATTGATTTCATGCCTTTTGGTAGCCTGCATCCTGTTTAGCACTCCGTGATTAATATTTTTTAGTTGAACTGAATCTCCTCAGTTATGAGCAGCCCTGGAAACGGCTTAGAAATATGGGCCTTTTCTGAGGCGAAGGCTGTTGTGTGACAAAGCAGCTGGCCCTGTTAGCGTCGCTGTTCAGACCTGGGTGCTGGAAACCTTTAACGGTTTGAATGGTAGCAGGAGGCGGTGTGGCAGTTCCCACTGCCGCGATGAGAACTTCAAGACCTCGGTTAATCCTGCCGTGCCTCCCACTGAGTGACGCGCGAGGCCTGCGGCTGTGGCCGCACCTGTCCGCCGACAGTCCTGCTCCAGGGCTTTTCCGCAGGCTGCCGCTTCTGCTTTCCACGTGCCACGTGCTTGCCTCCATTCCCTTGTCGTCCCTTGTCTCAGCGTAAATCCTCAGAGAGGCCGTCCCCGACCTTCCTGTCCCCTGTCCTTTAAACCTGACCCACCCCTCATCTGGGTGCCTCCTTCTACTCTGTCGTGACTGCCAGGCCTGGGAGGGGGTCCCTGGCCATTCCAGGTTGCCCTTTGTTAATTCAAGGCTCGCAGCAAAGATGTACCTGTAGATTGGATGAGTGGACGGACGGGAGCTCGTGGTCAGCCACTGGCCCTTCTAAGCAGGGTGCCACAGCCGCCTCTGGGGAGTGCACACAGGGCTCACTGGAAGGTGACACGTGCCCTTGGCATTTGACAGCATGTTCTCAGAGGTGGAAGGTTAGAGTCCACACAGGCTGCAGCCGGGTGTGAGTGCCATACAGAAGTACACCTAGAAATAAATTAAAAATTCTGCTTCCCAGGCGGTCCAAAATATCCAGTTAAGTAGTGGACATTTACTTGTAAAGCTGTCCATCCACTTGAGTAACATAAAATATAAGCATTTTAAGGCAGCACTGTAATGAATACTCTCACTTAGCAAATATGCCAGGTGTTTAAAAACACATCCGTATTACTTGTAGAATACAGGGGAGCAGACACACTCACCCACTGGTGGCTGTGGTTTAACTTACACGTATAACACAACTGCAAGTATCAAGAGACCCACAAATGTTTTATCCAGGTAGATTTTGGAAATCTGTCTTAAGGAGGAAAGATCTAAAATGCAACAAAGATTTGTGTATAATGATAATTTTCACAGAATTGTTTTTAATATCTGACACTGGAAGACTAGCCAGAAAACATATGGTATATCCCTATATTGGAAAATTACTCAGGGTTTCATATGGGATACGCTGTCTGATCACAATGAAATTAAGCTATAAATAAGGAAAAAAACTAAAAGATCTACATATGTTTGGGAATTAAGAAATAAGCATCTGAACCTTTGGTTTAAAAAAGAAATAGGGCTGCCACTGTGGCACAGCAGGTTAAACCACCACCGGCAACGTCAGCATCCGCATGAGCTCTAGTTCAAGTCCTGGCTGCTCTGCTTCTGATCCAGCTGCCTGCCAATGGACCTAGGGAAGCAGAAGAAGGTGGCCTGAGTCCTGGGCCCCTATTACCCATGTAGAAGACCCAAATGGAGTTCCAGCCACCTGGCTTCTGCCTGGTTATTATGGCGATTTGGGGAGTAAACCAGTGGCTATAGAAGACCTCTTTCTCTCTCCCCCCCTCGTGCCTTCATCCCTCCACTCCCAACTCTGCCTTTCAAATAGATAAATCTTTTTTAAAATTCTAGTGGAAAATATTTTTACTAAAAGATAATGAAAATTCTACATATTAAATGTGAATGAGGCCCAGATTTCTTACATTAGGAGAGAGAAGTTGTGAGGATTGGTGGATAAAGCTTTGAATTCTGTGCTTTAGTTCTCACTCAACTTTTTTTTAAGATTTATTTTATTTATTTGAAAATCAGAGTTAGAAAGAGAGAGCGAGAGAGATCTTCCATCTGCTGGTTCACTCCCCAAATGGCTGCAACAACCAGGGCTGGGCCAAACCAAATCTAGGAGCCAGGAGCTTCTTCCAGGTCTCCTAAGTGGGTACAGGGGTCCAAGCACTTGGGCCATCTTCCACTGCTTTCCCACAAGTGTTAGCAGGAGCTGGATCAGAAGTGGAACAGCCAGGATTCAGATGGGCAGTCCACTATGCCACAATGCTGGCCCCTCCCACTCAAGCATGAACATGATCTTGATTTAGTCTGGTGTGACCTGCTGTATCCTCAGCATCCCTCTCTTAGAGAACTTACAAGATAACTCCAGTTCCTACACTCCATGAGTTAGAACCACTGTGTTAATGGCAGAAACCAGCATGGGTGTTTTGGTGCAGTGGGTTCATCTGCTGCTTATGGTACCGACATCCCATGTTGAATGCCTGGAATAGAGTCCACCTCTGCTTCCAATCCAGCTTCTTGCAAATGGTCCTGGGAGGCAGCAGCTAATGGCCCAAGTAGTTCAGTTCCTGCCACCCGTATGAAATTCCTGGCTCTGGGCTCCGACCTGACCCCGCTCTGTCTGTTGTGGACATTTGGGGGGTAACCAGTGGATGGAAGATTTCTCTGTATCTGTCTCTTTCTCTGTCACTGTGCCCTTCAAATAAAAAAATAGGGTCTGATGTTGTGGCGGGTCAAATAAAACCACCACCTGTGATGCTGGCATCCTGTATGGGCACTAGTTGCAGTCCCAGCTGCTCCACGTCTGATCCAGCTCCCTGCTAATGTGCCTGGGTAGAAGATGGCCCAAGTGCTTGTGTCCCTGCCACCCATGTGGGAGAACTGGAAGAGGCTCCTGGCCCCTGGCTTTGGACTAGCCCAACTCCAGCTGTTATGGCCATTTAGGGAATGAACCAATGGATGGAAGATATCTCCCTCTCTCTCTCTGTAAACTCTGCCTTTCAAATAAATAAATAGATCTTTTTTTTAAAAAAAAAAAAGGAACAAGTAATAAAAATAAATATTTTTCAAACGAAGAAACCTTCCTAGCATTTACACAGTACACAAGGAAGTCATTAGGGCTTTTTGTGTTTTGTTTTGTTTTGTTTTTATTTTTTACAAATTTATTTATTTGAAAGGCAGAGTTAGGCAGAGAGAGAGAAAGAGAGAGAGGTCTTCCATCCACTGGTTCACGCCTCAAATGGCCACAAGGGCCAGAGCTGGGCCGATCCAAAGCCAGGAGCCAGAAGCTTATTCTGGGCCCCCTATGCAGGTGCAGAGGCCCAAAGACTTGGGCCATCTTCACTGCTTTCACAGGCCATAGCAGAGAGCTGGATCGGAGGTGGAGCAGTCGGGACTCAAACTAGCACCCATATGGGATGCTGGCACTGCAGGCAGTGACTTTACCTGCTGCACCACAGTGCCAGCCCTGGTAGTCAGTAGTTTTGAAATCAAGAGAATATTGTAGCAGTCTTTGTAAATGTAAGCCATTTATAGGAAACAATTGTTTTAAAGATTTATTTATTTGAAAGGCAGAGTGACAGAGAGAAAGAGAGAGAATTTCCCATCTCATAGTTTACCTCCTAAATACCTGCAACAGCTGGGACTCACTCAGGCCAAAGTCAGGGACCCAGCTATTGAACCATCTTCTTCTGCCTTCTTAGGCACATTAGCAGGGAGTTGGATCAGAAGTGGAACAGGGGCCAGTGCTGTGGTATAGCAGGTTAAGCCTCCACCTGCAGCATTGGCATTTCATATGGGTACTGGTTCTAGTTCTGGTTGCTTGTATTCTGATCCAGCTCTCTGCTATGGCCTGGGGAAAGCAGTAGAAAATGGCCCATGTGCATGGGCCCCTGCAGCCACGTGGGAGCCCCGGAAGAAGCTCCTGGGTTCAGATAGGCCCAGCTCCGGCTGTTGCGGCCATGTGGGAAGTGAACCAGTGGTTGAAGACCTCTCCCTTTCACTATAACTCCGCCTCCCAAATAAATCGTTTAAAAAAAAAAAAAAAAAAAGGTGGAGCAGCCAGGAGTTGAACTGTGCTCCATGAGGGATGTAGGTTTATAAGCAGCAGCTTAACCCACTGTACCACAACATCTGCCCTATAAAAACAATTTATTCCTTTTCTAAAAAAAAAAATATATATATATTTTTTAAAGTCTTAAGTAGAAACTCCTATTAAGAACCACATATTGTTTTCCACTAGCTACCTATTGAGAATATGGATTGAGATAAAGAAATTATTTTAAAAAGAGAACTTTTTCCACTTCTCTTGGTATGTTAGATCAGGATAGGTTCACTATTCTTAAAACCGTTTTAGGAATAAACTAAATTACGATCGTATGTTATGTAATTTAAGAGAACGTGATGTGAAGCCACATGTCCGCTGTCACATTCTGTCCCTGCCGCTTACTAGCCTTGTGACCCTGGACAGTTAGCCATAAAGCTCTTAGACAGTGCCTGGCGCATAATAAGTACTCCATAGATGTTAGCCGTAATTTGTAACTCAGGAAGGCTCAGGAAGGAGCAGTGTTCTGGGAAGGTGGGGCATCGTGGAAGTGGCAGGGACCCTGGAGGAGATGTGTTGAGGAGAGGGGGCAATCCAGAATGGGGCAGCAGGGGCATAGGTAGAGCAGGCAGCGCGTCTGCCATAGAACAGAGGACTTGGAAACAAGGCACTCTCCTGCAAGTGTTAGGCATTCCAGACGGATGCATATTTGTATAAATAAAACCATGGGTGGAGAAGACCGTTTGCTGTAAGAATGGATAGCAACCTTTCAGGAGGCGTGAGGTCCATAACACCTTACCTCAGCCACATCAAAGGGTGTTTTCAGAATTATTTATTCAGGCCCACTAGCATAAGGCATTGTGCGAGACATTTCACAAACACTTTCTTCTCATCACGTTGTAACCGCTCTATGAGAGATAATTTTTACTGTGA